AGGAGCTGGAGATACAGATGTGTGCCAAGCCACCATACCTGTCCCCTCCTTGGAAATTCTTGAGTGATAGGAGTGTCTTTGTTATTCATGGTGGGCCTTGATCATTTTTGCTAATGAGATGACTCATGGTGGGACGCTAGGCAGCTTCAAAATGGAGGCTGGTCATGCCAGAAAGATTAACTATGTGGTTTGAGGGTTGGGGCTTTGAGTCACATGATATCAGCCCAACCTTGCAACAGCTGGGAAGGGGAAAATGGCTAGAGATTGAGTTCAGTCATGTGGCCAATGATTCAATCAATAATGCCTTTGTAATGAAACCTAATAAGAAGGTCAGTGGACCTTCCCTGTTGGTGAAGACATTGATGTGTTGGGAAGGTGACATGGTCTGATTCCATGGGGAGAGGGCTTGGAAGCTCTGTATTTGGGATCCTCCCATACCTTGCCTTTTGTGTCTCTTCATTTGGTTGGTCCTGATTTCCAGCTTCTGTAGTAAGACCGTAAGTTACCGTGAGTTCTGTGAGTTGTTCTGGTGAATTATCAAACCTGAGAAGGTTGTGGAAACCCTCAAATTTGTAGCCAGTTGGTCAGAAGTGTGAGTGGCCTGGGGACCTCTGAACTTGTGGATGACATCTGAAGTGAGGGCAGTCTTGTTGGGGACTGTGTCCATACCCTGTGGGATCCACACTAACTCTGGATGGTTGACATCAGCGTTGAGTTGTAGTATTACAATACTGTAAACACTGACTATTGACAGAACGTTGTGATATAACTTCAGTGAAAGGATAGGGAAATTGAAAGGGGAGGGGAGCTATCATCAACTATTAATATAATCATTCAGTAAATAGTATAAAAGTTGACCAATCAAGAGATAATAGTGTAAGCAAAGGATTTAGAACATGTATGTAAACACAAGGAAAAACAACTAAAAGAAATAAAAGTAGTCGTTTTGGGGGATGGGATAGGAGGGCACAGAAGGGTGGGGTAAGGTCGTGCTGTTTTTTAGTTTAAACCTTTTATAACTAATTTTTCAAACTATGTGCATGTGTGACTTTGGTATAAATAAGATCAATTTTAAAAAGAAGGGAGCTTGACTGCAGGTTCTCAGTAATTCACCTCTATCAGAAGTCAAGATGATCAGGAAATAGACTTGGATGTTGAGGTGTGTGTGTGAGGTCATTGAAGAATGCTTTTAGGAATAACACCTGTGAGGAAGCGGAAGCAGCAGAAAAGACCAGAGGGAGAAGTTGAACTGTGATGCAGCTACAGCAAAGCATAGCTGATACCACTGGAAACCCTCAATCTAGGATGGCCCTTCAGAGACGCCCAAGTGAGGTAAGGGTAAGACCTTTGTCCCTGAGCGTGGGCTAGTCATTAGACATGTACTGCCCAGGGCAGCAAGGCAAGCTCCCTTTGGCTGAGGGCAGTTACTGAGGAAGACTCAGTTGTGAGCTGACAGTAGGTAACGCTCCTGACAAGGAATGAATGAGTACCTCTGTGCTGGGAGGTAGGATCTGACTGGTGCACTTAACTGTATCCACTACAAACTCCAAAAACTGGAGAATCTGGAAAAGGAAGACTTGACATCCACTAGGTAGATTTCAGAATCTCTAGACCTGGTGTATTCTGGACTTGCCAGGACTATTTTAGTTTGAAATTATGGAATTATGGTATGCTGGTTTAGATCAGTCTGGGGTTGGCAATTTTAAAAATAGATACACACATACAGTTGTCTGTATTCTTTTGAAATATATTTCAGCCAAAAATTCTAGATGCAGAATATTGAGTGATTTTTATTATAGTTTAATTCTTGAGTATATTCTTAAGAGATTTTAAGCCCCTAATCTGAGAAATCTGATATTGCCATCAGTTCATTGCTGTAATCATATATAGTCATGCATCGCTTAACAACTGGGATACATTCTGAGGCATGTTTTGTTAGGTGATTTCCTTGTACAAACATCATAGAGTGTCCAAACCTAGATGGTACAGCCTAGTACACACCTAGGCTATATGATATAGCTTATTGCTTCTAGGCTACAAACCTGTACAGCACGTTACTATACAGAGTACTGTGGACAATTGTAAGAAAGTGGTAAGTATGTTTGTATCTAAATATATCTAAACATAGAAAAGGTACAGTAAAAATATGGTATAAAAGATAAACTGGGCGCGGTGGCTCACGCCTGTAATCCTAGCTACTCAGGAGGCCAAGGTGGGAGGATTGCTTGAGGACAGGAGTTTAAGACCAGTCTGGGTAGCATAGTGATATCCTATCTCTACAAAAAATAGTCAAATTAACTGGGTGAGGTGGTGTGCGCTTGTAATTCCAGCTACTCAGGAGGCTGAGTCTGGAGGATCACTTGAGCCCAGGAGCTCAGGGCTGCAGTGAGCTATGATCATGCCACTGCGCTCCAGCCTGGGCAACAGAGACAGACCCTGTCCCCCTTCTCCTCTACCTCCCCCCTCCACAAAAGTTTTCTTGACCAGGATCCAATCCAGAATCATGTGTTTCATTTAGTTGTCACATCTCTTTAGACTCTTTTAACTTGAAACTTTTGACTGGCTGATAATTTTGTAGAATGTTCACCAAACGTTCATTATGCAGCTCATGACTGTATGTGGTTTGCTTGCTCCACTGTTGTAGGCTTAAACAGAATAATCTAGGTACAAAAGGCTTTGTAAATAGGTAGGTCAGTGGCTAATAGGTGTTAGGGTAGGAAAGTGTAAGATATTGTATTTGTAAAGTGACCTTTGAGAAACCAGCTTCTCAGGAAAGCAGTCTAAGTCTTGTGTGTTTTGCAGTTTGTAAGACCAATTAAATCTTGAGCATCATTCATGGACTCAGCAAATGTCTGCTGAGCAGCCACCTTGAGCATGTCACGTTGCAAGGAACCTAGAATCTGATAGAAGAATTAAGATGTGTAGACGTAAAGAAATACAATTTAAAATACAGAGTGGTAAAGTGCCGTAACACATAAGGATGTGTGAAGTGCTGTGGGAGTTTAGAAAAGAGAGTTCTCTTTCGTTTGAAGTGATCTGGAACAGTGGAATTGGTGGAGCTTCAACAAGGCTTTGACAGAAGAAGGCAGGCACTGAGGTTCTGGGATCTTGGAGAGAGGAGAAAAGTTTACCACAGGGAGAAGGAAGAGGAGGGAATTGAATACAATTAGTATATGTTTTTCCTTTGCTTGTGAAACATTAGTGAATCAGTTAACTAGAATATGATATAAAATTGGATTCCCATGCCTCCAAAACCAGGAGATGAAAAGTTACAGAAAAGTACAATCGAACTGATTATGAGGTTGGAGGAATTTTCATATGGCGCTCAATTTCATGTAGCTAGGTTCTGCCACAATTGTTTAAATCTATAAGTTAATAATGTTTGTCATAAATAAAAACTGTAATGATAAAACACATGGATTACCTTTGGAAGATTCCAGGGAACCAGTTTATTTTGAAGACTGATAAATAAAGCTTAAAAAACAATCACAGTTATCTTTTGTTCCTATGCAAGCTATATATCATGGTAACCAACTAACAAGGAGTAATTTCTCTATGGAAATATTTTAGCTAATAGCTAAGATAAATGATCGAATTCGAATACCACCATTTTGTAGCCCCTAATGAAATAATGAATCTCAGTAGCTATCATCAGTGGCTGCTAATATAACAAAGATAACCAGACATGTGCTTCCTCTTCTAAATATGCAATATCACTTATGGAGTACTCTTACCAAGAAAACCAAACCTGTCTTTGATCAAGCATATATATCCACCACCACAGGACCAAGGAACATGATAAATGATATCAGCAGAATGCATTCAGCAAATGCCAGGCTGAGAAAGCACAAAGCTATGACCTAATATCTTCAACAAATAAATTAGGGGGGGAGGAGAGAGAGAAATAGGTAGGTAGGTAGGTAGGTGGGTAAATAGACCCTATAGATTAAAACATTCAATAGACATCTTAACCAGTTTTGGTATGCAACCTATTGAATCCTGATTAGAACGAATTGTTAAAAGTTTTGGAAACATTTGGGAAAAATTATAGTGATTAGATATTTGTTTTCAAGGAATTATTTACAATTTCAGGAATGTGATTATGATATTATGGTTATTTTTAATGGCAGATGCTTACTGAGATATTTATGGATGAAGTGATGTGATGTTCAGAATTCACTTCAAAATAACATGAGATGAGAGGAAGCAGGTGAGGGTATAGATGAAGCAAGATTGGCCTCAGGTTGATCATTGGTGAAGCTGGGCCATGGGTACATGGGTGTTTGTCATACTGTTCTGTATATTTTTGATTTTTTTTTAGTCTAAAGTTTTAAAAAATTCTGCAAAGATGACTGCTGAGCAGGAACATGGTGAAAGTCTATGAGATTATGAAAGATACGGCTAGAAAGAATATGGATGTGTTTGCTGTATTTCTCAATAGAAAAATTAGGGACCATCTTGTATAATTTGAAAGAAGTGGTTCTAGGAAAAATACAAGAAAATCCTATTTTACCCATAACTTGTTTTTTATAATCTGTAAATGGCTTGGAAAACTTTGGCGGCGGGCAGGAGAGGGGCTCCCTAATCTTTTGAAGCAGACATCTATGCTCTGAACTTATAACAAACATGATTCCAATATTCCAGAGGTAAGATACTGTGGTGTATAATCTGACCTATTATAATTTTCAAATATTTCTGCCACATAAACTTTTTGAGGTTATAAAAGAAATATGGTTTCTCACAGAAGAATTAAATCTTATTCAATTACTTTTTACTATCCTTAATTTAAAAAATTAGCATATTAATATATACACAGTAAGTATGTACTTGAGTGGTACAGTGCAGTGGATTTACATACACACACACTGGTAACTGTCACTTTGAAAAGATATAGAAAGTATTACACACGTCCTCTTGTGTATAATTGATGAGTCCTAACTACCACCAGGTCTTCATTGTAGTTCTTAAAGTAAACTATAACTTTTTTTTTCCTTTCTCAGTTGTCACAGGTAGTACTGATGGAATTGGAAAATCATATGCAGAAGAGGTAGGTGATTTCAAGACCTTTCTTTTTGGTATTTAAAAAAGAGAACAAATATGAAATGATTTCTTAGAGTAGTTTTGATTTTTGAAGTTAAAAACACAAATATAATGTTGTATAGTACAATATATGTTCTTCTTTTCTACCTTGTCAGAAATACCATGTTTGCTTAAATAAAAATATTTAAAGCAAATTTCTGTGCAAAATAAGTATTAAACTTTCTATGCTGCTTAGTTGAAATTAGGAAAAGTTTAGTGTAATTTTATTTTATGTCATGTAAGTATGGACAGTCCTCAGTTTTTAAAGTCAATTATTTTGAACTATTTTCTAAAAAAAATAAAACTATTACCATAGATGGTTATATTTCCAGGCTAGCCCATAGCATCATTTTCACAAGAAGGATTGTGGTTAACTGAAAGGTATTGACAGACACAGGCAAAAGATTTAAATTCTCTGTAATGCAGTGATGGGGAAGCATAATATTAATTTATTCGATTTCCTACCTTAGTTTACCTTGGTTGTCCATAAAGTATAATACCCAAATTCAAATTTAAAAACTGATTATATTTTTAGAAATTCCTAACATTTTAACTATAGTTTTCTTTGCCAGTCCTTTGGTCTGTATTTTATATATCTGGTCTGCAACAAAAACTTTCTTAAAGCTAATTTTTTTAAAGCTAGTGTTTAAATTATGAAGTAGTAGACACTTAATTTTAAAAAGCCAAATAGTATAGATGGTATAAAATGAGAAGTAAAAGTCTCCCTTCTTAGAAAACCCTTTGACCTTTAAATACTAGCTTAATTTAGAAAGATAATTCTTTGGGTAAAGTCTTCATTTTGGATTGTCTATTCATTCACTCAGGTTTATTTTTTTTTTTTGAAATTTGAATTATTATCTAGTCAGGTTTTCTTAAAATGGGGCTATATCTAATTTATATTTTCAAGTGAAATACACAGATGTGATTCAGATCTTTTATTGTTTCAGTTAGCAAAGCGTGGAATGAAGGTTGTCCTTATCAGCAGATCACAGGATAAACTGAACCAGGTTTCCAGTGAAATAAGTAAGTTCTCATATCAAACGCCTCATGATTACAAAAGGAGTATAGCTAATCCGAGTTTAATGTTTTAAAGCACTGACAAGTTTAATGTTATCTAGCACTGACATTTATTTATAGTTCATGCTGTTCATGGCATGTTTTAAAGATGGATCATCAATTTTTAAAAATTGTTTTAGGCCTGTTGTAATTTGCTTAAAATATCTTACTGACTCATTTAGTTTGTGTTGTCAGGAGTCAGTTTCTCTGATTATTTTATCATGTTCTACTGAAACAACTGAATTCCTTTTCTGTTGCTTCATTTCAATATTCTTGAATTTTTTTACCATGTTGATTTCAGTGTCTCTAAATGTGTAACATACATGATTGATGAAAAACGTGAAAGATAGCAAATACATTTGTGATAAGGCAACTATTTTGAACTTTCTTCTTAGCTATGATTGAGACTTGCATAACAATATGGCAAAGACTCTCTTAACTGACTGATACTTAACCAATCACATGGATAAGCCAGTGCTGTTCAGGTCCTAGATAAAACATACTGACCAATGTCCACAGTATGCTATTTGTAACCAAGAAGCTTCTTGGTATGGTATGATGCTTATGAAACCCTCACAAGTCAAATTGTTTACTTATTAAGAGTCAATTATGTTTGTTTCCAAACTTACATTTGCTGGGTACATTTGTTATTAAATATTCAGTAAAATGATGAATCATTAGTGTAAAAGGAGTTGTTATTTCTATAAAAACTAAGTTGAATATTCTGGGGAAAAGTGAGTAAAATGAGTTCTTTCAGAAATTGGCTGTCAAATTAGTGGTGAACAAGACAAATGTAAAATATTGGAAAAACTTATAAAATGTAGTAAGAAATTTGCCCCACTGATTGTTTCATATATGTTGAAGTTTTTGCTGCACTTTATCAGAACTGAAACTGCAGTCATAAATGATGCATTATGGGGGTGGTACATGCAGGAAAGACATGGAATTCCAGTCTCCAGATCTAATCTGAAAGATAAGGACTTGGCTCTACACAGAGGATTGGTGAATGAATTGCATTTATATACGGTTTAAATTAAAATGGATACAACATGTATTATATCTCTGTGACTCCTTGCTTTAACTAACTTCTCCAAGTAGCCACTTAACAAATTGTCCCAATTCTTTCCAATGGGAGAAGTTTTCTTCTATGTTATTATTAACATCACCTACTACTAACCTGTTTCTATTGTGCTTTATTATTTATTCATTCCTTCATGTGTGTTATCTCCTTTGACCCTTCCAACATCCTTGTGAGGCATATGTTTTTGTTACTATTTAGCTGGTCCTATTGGACAGAGTACATATAAGTGCACTTCATTTTTAGATATAGAACAGAGCTTTATCGAAGATTCCCAATATAATTAATAAGTATGTTAAATCTTTAAAAAAATTGTTTAGCCTTGCTGAGAGCACAGATCTTTACAGAGCTGAGCATGTGGTATATAGATATACCAGTGGATCTTTGGCATTGAAGGATTTTAACATTGAAGGTTTCAACTACGTAAAGGCAACCCTGAAAGGCCAGGACATATGGTATTTTGCAGTTTTGCTGAGGTGTGAATTTGAATTAAGCCATCCTACTAATGAGCCTAAAGTAGTTGCTGAGATAGTAGATGAACTTAACATACTGCCTGGATCTTAGGACTATTTAATTGTTAGCTACTTGTAGTTATGTATAGAATAACTCTTAAAAGTGATAAAAATGTGTTTGTATGTATGCGCAGAAATTGGCTCTTAATGAAAGCAACCACTATTTGCTAGAAGGAAAGGTTTATAGACAGAAAACAGAAACTTTTAATTAAATGGAATGTTGAATTTTGAAATGCTATATGAATGAATCCACCATCTACCTGATACAGAAACCAGAAAAGCTATCTCATGACACTTTCCGCAAGTACTGCAGTCTGTGCAAAAATTGCTCAATGAGTCAGAAGATATACTTTAATGATATTTGAGAATTTGGTTAACTTGTGATATGCTATGACACGTGACTATTAGCAGAAATGTGATTCTGGAGAAAGACAGGATCCTGTTCAAACATTTTTATGAAGGAACAGATGGTAAAGGCACTGAATTGACCTTTATTAAAAGGAGTATTTTTTTCCTTGTTGAAAATTATGAAAAATGTTTTTCTGAGCATAATATACATTCAGTAGAAGAGGTGGTATCAGTAGACTATGTTGTCTGTTCTAAGCTGAAGAAATACTCAGAGGAGATGTGTAAGTTAGGATAAGTTTTTAACGGAGATGTAAATCATCTCTTTGAGAGGATAATGTTTTCACGAACATATCTATTCCAGAAGGAAGGACCAGGATTTAATGGTTGACAAAAACGGACTAATTCTTCATTTCTTTGGTTATGTCTTTAGCACATCTTTATTGAATTCCTGTGTACCAGGTACTGTGCTGGGCTGTCAAGAAACAATGGTGAACAAGGTGGATGCAGTCCTTGCTCTCATGGAAGTTACATTCTAGTGGAGGAAACAGTGAAAACAAATGGGTAAAAAAACCCAAAGCAAGGCCGGGCGCGGTGGCTCACGCCTGTAATCCTAGCTCTCTGGGAGGCCGAGGCGGGCGGATTGTTTGAGCTCAGGAGTTTGAAACTAGCCTGAGCAAGAGCGAGACCCCGTCTCTACTAAAAATAGAAAGAAATTAATCAGACAACTGAAAATATATAGAAAAAATTAGCCGGGCATGGTGGCGCATGCCTGTAGTCCCAGCTACTCGGGAGGCTGAGGCAGGAGGATCGCTTGAGCCCGGGAGTTTGAGGTTGCTGTGAGCTAGGCTGACGCCACGGCACTCTAGCCCGGGCAACACAGTGAGACTCTGTCTCAAAAAAAAAACAAAAAACCCCAAGCAAAACAGAACATCACACAAATAAATAATTGCAGTCTATACTGAGTGCCACAAAGGAAACAAAGGACTAGAGAGAAAATATTAATAACAGAGAGGTTCTTATTCTGTGGCAACAAGGTGAGTTTTGTGAATGGCACGGTGATAAGGGGGCCAGAATAATGGCCTCTTGCCCATAATGGCACTCCAGTAATGAAGCTGGAGCCTCAGTGAAAGCCGTATCCTCTGGGCCCCTTTGGGAGTGTAATGGTGGAGGGATTGTGTATGTGCAAGTTGCGCTTGATAAATCACTCCAACATTTCTATTTTCTTAAGCCTTTGGATACTGCTTCTATATTATGCCAGGCAAGTTGTGGCCTCCCAGTCTCGTCAAGTATAGGCTCATGGGGTGCAAGTTTCAGTTAGCCTTAAATCCTAAATCTTTGGTAAGTGAATCATAAAAAAATTTGGCTCAATCTGGTGTTATATTCTGTTTCCCTTGATCTAACACTCTTAGAATCCACACGTGTTTCCCAGATTTCTACCCATACAAATTAGAAAATTTTGTGATAATTTTTATGTATAAGTTATTGGTTTATGGATCAGACTTTGTACTGCGATCTAGTCCTGTTATGGATGGCTGTAAGGGATATGATTTGGGGTTTTTTTGTTTGAGACAGAGTCTCACTATATTGCCTGGACTGGTCTTGAACACCTGGGCTCCAGGGATCCTCCTGCCTCAGCCTCTGGAGTAGCTAGTGGAGACTTCAGTTGTGTTCCACCATGCCCAGCTGCATTGGATCTGAGGAGATAAGGAATTCTCTTGCAAGGAAACTGCCCTTGCTGTTATGGTGAGGCTGTTATGGGATCCTCAATCCGCGGAACACTAATCTCCTCAGACACAGGAAGGAGAACAGACTATTTCTATTTCCACTGGCAAGGGAGGCTCAGAGTAGCTTGGGAATTCAAGATTCTCTGTTTCAGCAGAGGCCACCCATCCCAAATCTTGGGGTCTCACCTTTTCTCATTCAGTGCTTTTATTTTCACATCTGAGACATAATGAGTCTGTGAAATACAACTTACATTGTAATTCTGTAACTGGTACGTTTAAATCTGATGTTAGCAAGGTAAGCTCTATGACGATAAGGCATAAAATTTTTTATAAGGGTAACCACAGAAGTTCTCTGGCTCTCTCATGGTAAATGTGAACTGGAAGTTTAATGACTGGAGCTTATCATGTTCATTCTGTAAGTGTTCCAGTGCCTTCAGAAGAAGCCAGACCACAGCACAGTCTGCCAGACTCCAATGCAGCAGCCATGTGGTCCCCCAAGGCACTTCGTCAATAGGTAGTTCTTTACAATCAGCAACCAGGGTTACTTTGATCAATTGTGATACTACTTACCGCATCACAGATCACTAGCATCTCATTTCCCATTGGGAAGGAACTTGGCACTATGTTTAAGTCTAAGGACACAATCAAACCAGTACAAACATCCTTTGAGTTCTATTTCTTGGGATCCCACTCTTGTTACTAATTTATCAGTCAGAGTCCAGTCAGGAAACAGAAGTCACACAAGTTAGTTTAACTAGGCTAACTTATCGTTTCTAGTCCAGCACTTAAACTCACTCCAGTGGGCTAAATTCATGCATCCTATTTCCACGTCTGACTGAAAGAAGAAGATAGGAAAGGAGGAGATTGAAGAGAAAACTACTTCCCACCTAAGAAAAAGTAGGGGACCTCTTCGTGGCTGCTATAATTTTCTAACTCTCCTGTTATGTAAACTTCAGCATTTCATGCCTTTAGAAGTAATTCCTTTTGAATGTGGAGGTAGCCTGCTCATCAATGTCAAAGTTCCTCAGACAAATTTTGAATGGATTATATATAGTTTAGCAAGGAACTAAATGTTTCACCAACAATGGTTAAGTGCTTTGTCAGGATTGACTGACTGCTTTGATGAAATTACAGTTCCTTGTAAGGATACCTGTCACCCATTTAATTAAGACAAGCGAAAGCCCTAACACGTACAATAAGCTTATTTTATTATCATTCTTAGCCAGGATTCATATATTAGGTATTTTTGTCAATTTTGATTTGTCAAAGAAAAAAACCTTCTAGATAATTTTTGAATGCTGAGCT